GTGAAACCGTGATATTTTTTGCTTAAGGTTATCATACCGTCAAAATCTCATACCGGCCCATGCCTACACAGAACTCATCCACAATATCCACATTGACCGCCACAAATATCCACCGCCCCCTGCCATCAGCTCCCGCGTCTCACACACACACGAGCGCGACTTTAGCACTAGATTTAGCAACTTTCAGACCCTTTTAGCGGCTTTTTTCCATAGAATATTCATACTGACAAACCTAGCGACTTTTTTGGATAAACCTTAGCTATGGTTCAGTTGGAAGATTTCGCCAGTGCTTTCCCGCGAACGCGAGGTCTGACTTTCCCGGAGAAGTGTCACCTCTCTCGGCGTCTGTTCTGTGCAGTGAGCGGCAGAGAAGCAGCGCATTCAGTTGGCCGCACCGCAGCCGACTCGTCAATAAATGAGTACAAAACAGCGTTTCCTAGCACCTGTCGCTTACTGATTGTTTGGAATTATAAATATGAGCGTAGTTCGTCTGTTAATATCACATGCACTTTTTTGTTTGTTGTTTTTTTTTAGTCACTCAGACGCAGGCAGTGCGCTGCATGAGACAAAAAAGTAATATAGCCAAAACAACCGCATAGCCGCTCTTTAGTGTAGATGCATGTTGATTTTATCAGACGATGCCGCGATTATAAATGAGAGTGACTCCTGGTTAACATGTATTAAAAGGGGTCGTGTTTAGTCACTATTTAATGTGGTATTTTTTGACAATATTCACTCATCATGACAGTAAAATAGGGCATTCTAAGTCAATATACTGCAGTATTTCCTCTCTCAATCAGTAGAAAATATGGTTAACACCCGGTCATGCATGAAAAAAAAATACCGTCATGTACCGTGAAACCAGTATAATTTTGAAAAATACCGTGATATAAATTTTTGGTCATACCGCCCAGCACTAATTCACACTATAATAATATATAAAAACTGATCAGAGAAATGGTACCTTTTACTTTTAACTAAGGCCAAAAAAATGTATTCATTCATTCATTGTTCATTCATTCATCGTTCGTTCATTCATTCAGTCATTCATTTATTCATTCATTCATCGTTCATTCATTCATTCATTCATTCATTCATAAAAAAAATTGCCAGACTTTCCACTATTAAAAAAATGTATTAGATAAATTGTACCTTTCACTTTTACCTAAGAACATAAAATAAGTAATTCGTCCATTTATTCATTATTCTTACATGCATGCATTCATTCTTTCATTTATGAATTTTAAAAAAATTCAAAAACATTTCAGCAAACTTTTCACTATAATGTATAAAAAATGCATCTGAGAAATTTTAAATTTTACTTTTAACCTAGACCATAAAAATCTAAATTTGTAATTATTTTATGTGTGTATGCATATGTATTTATGTACGTATTCATTTATTTACTTACTTATTTCAAAGAACCTCCAGATTTCCCTCTATATAAAATTTCTGAAATTTGACCACAGAAATTGTACCTTTTACTTTTACCCTGAACCAAAAAAAACCCAAAACATTTTCAATTCTTTTGGTATTTATTCATTATTTTATAACAAACAAAAATCATTGTCCTACATATTGCTTCCATTACCATCTCACTTACTGCCAAAATCCACTTTACTGTTGAACAGATGTAATACATGTTTTGAAATAAATAACACCTATTTAAAGAAGTTTTTTTGAAGCTTTAAAGTAGTCTCTAATTAAAGATTCACTCGTTTATGCATGTATGAGATCATTTTAGCCCTGCATGTTCTCTACTATTGAAACCTACTGATTTTCTTTTTTTTTTATAACTTCTACGTTACTTCACTCCTAGTTGAGTATGTGGTCTGATGTTGGTATTTAAATGATATTAGAGTTTAATCAAGGAGAGAATGTCATAAAACCCTCAGTTTGCCCTCTATTAATCTACAGAGTGAGTTCTGCATTCAATCTCTCCTCAAACACACTCCATAGATGAAATAAATGCCCTGCCTCGAGGCATTAAAAAGTAATGAGCCCTGTTTATGCTTTAATATTAATTTAATTTCATGATTTGACTCTAACAGATGTCACTCATGTAAACTGAGAATGAAAAGTGACATTATAAATTGCCTTTTTTGTTGTTGTGGATCTTTATTTCATACTAATTTTCTTACTTTATTTCTTAGTCTATTGTCTATACATGTTTCTTTACCCAAATAATAAAGAATTCTGTCTTGTCTTAAAGCTCATAAGGGCCTGCAGCGGTTCGAGGGTTTGGAGCACAGTGATTGGCTGAGCCCGGGGCAGGCCGTGAGGGTCGTGGCTCCACGCCAGCGCTTCCTGTACATACAGATTGTCAATAAGAAGGTCAGTCGGGTTGAATATAACCAGCCGTGACATGCGTAAGCAACACACTATAAAAACTCTCTTGCATTCCTGTTAACCAGCTGCGACAGTCAATGGGACGTTTTGCTGCCCACAGTGAAATATCATTTGTCTGAAATACCACAACGCTGCGTATTAAACATCGAGTGTGTTCTAATCGGCTGTGATTGTGCAGCGTCATGCAGCATTTTTGTCTTCAAGTGTGGATAGACTTTAGTGTGCAAGGTGGATTTGTGAGGTTTGTTCTTTCTGTTTTATGTTATATTGCTATGTTTCCAGGTGACTCTGTACACATATAACTGGTCGGTGGATCTGGGCGTCTCTCTGAATCAGGGTCTGGTCAGACTGGTGCAGTGGCAGAACGCCCGCGCTCATGTGGTCAGCTGCCTCCTGAGTCAGAAAATGGGCCTTTTCCATCATTACTGCTTCTCTGATACACCTACACATGAGGACCTGAAACAGGTTAGTACACAAACACACTGGCTGTGTTCTCAATGCAACACCAGCATACTGCATACTGCAATGATTAATTAGAAACGGTATATGAAGCAATAAACATTTCAATCATTTCAACAAACACAATATCATTTTGCATGTTTATTTCAGCCAGTGATGTCCAATTACAGTGGTGTGAAAAAGTGTTGGCCCCCTTCCTGTTTTTTTAAATTTTTTGCATATTTGTCACACTTAAAAGATTCAGATCATCAAACAAATTTTAATATTACACAAAGATAATGCAAGTAAATACAAAATGCAGTTTTTAAATGATTATTTATTTTATTAAGGGAAAAAAGCTGTCCAAACCTGCCTGGCCCTACGTGAAAAAGTAATTGCCCCCTAAATCTAATAACTGGTTGCGCCACGCTTTGCAGCAACAACTGCAATCAAGTGTTTGCTTATTTATATATATATATATATATATATATATATATATATATTAAACGCAAAACAACCATTATTTTGTTTTTCATCATGTTTTAAAAACTAAAACTATATATTTAAGTGATGTTCACAGCTGACTAATATCATGATTCCTTAGTTAAGCTGAGAGCATTGCATTTGACAGACTGAATTCAGAATAGCATACTAGCATACTATTTTTATTTTTTCTAAAGGATTTTTTACATTTTTTCCTGTGATCAAAGCTGAATTTTCAGCATCATTACTCCAGTCTTCAGTGTCACACGATTCTTCAGAAATCATTCTAATATGCTGATTTGCTGCTCAAGAAACATTTCTGATTATTATCAATGTTGGAAACAGTTGTGCTGCTTCATATTTTTTCATTATATATATTTTCAGGATTCTTTGATAAATAGAAAGTTCAAAAGAACAGCATTTATTTGAAATAAAAAAAAATTGTAGCTTTATAAATGTATAATTTATAAATTGATCAATTTTATGCATCCTTGCTGAATAAAGGTGTTAATTTATTATAAAAAAATAAAATAAAAAAAGAACATTTTACTTACCCTGAAGTATCGAATGGTAGTGTACATACTGCTTTGTATCTTCTGTCAAAAACAGTAGGTAGTATGTTATTCTCAACATGCACACTGTGTAAGCTGTCATGGATTGCTGGACATCGTTTCGGATGAGCTTTTAGGACAGTGTGTGTTCACACATTATAAGTACAGATAGCGCTAGTGAGTTGGTTAAGCAGTACACGAGTGTCCGGCGCTCCCCGGGGCGGTCTGACATCTCACTCTGAGTGACAGACAGGTGTCACGGCCGCAGGGCAGGATGCTAATCACTCCAGCACACCTGCTAACACCAAACACCTGGAAACCATCCAGAGCGCTGCCAAAACAGTTCATTCCTGCCCGGAGTCAAGCTCGTGTGATCAGAGTGAATTGAATCACGCTGTGTTTTAGTTGTTTGCGGTTAATGCAGCAGAACATGTTTGTTGGTTCTGTCAGTAAAGAGACGAAACCTTCTGTCGCGGCGTTCACTGTTATTTATTCAGTTGTCAGCTGTTTGTCAAGATTTCGCACCAAATGTCAGGATGTATTTTGGGAAAGCAGACAGTTGTTGATGTCGTTATCGAGAGCTTTTGTGTTAAAGGCCTTTAATGGAACCGCTTATGACAGTCATGTGCCTGCACTGATAATGACACACAGACATTTCTGATCGACATTTTAAAGGGGCAATATCAGGAATTTTAGTGCTTTTTTAATAAAATAGTTAAAGTACAGTTAGTGGGTCATTATTACGGGGCTATTGTAATGATATAGACTATATTTATGATAGATAGATAGATAGATAGATAGATAGATAGATAGATAGATAGATAGATAGATAGATATGGATGGTTAGATAGATAAATAGAATTATGGATGGTTAGATAATTATGGATGGATGGATGGTTAGTTAGTTATGGATAGTTAGTTAGTTATGGATAGATAGATAGATATGGATGGAAGGATGTTAGATGGATAGATAAATAGAATTATGGATGGTTAGATAATTATGGATGGATGGATGGATGGTTAGATAATTATGGTTAGTTAGTTAGTTAGTTATGGATAGATAGATAGATAGATAGATAGATAGATAGATAGATAGATAGATAGATAGATAGATAGATAGATATGG